TTTCTCAGATGGTCCTTGTTTCCCTGAATGGTCGGGCCACCCCCGGCCAATCCGCCTGCTATTGTATATACCGGATCTTCATCTGTTTCGGCACTGATAGCAGGCTGGGGAGTCTTCTTCTTGGACTGCCCCGGATTTGCCTTGGAAGTCACTTTGTACTTCACATAGGACTTCAAATGTCCCTTTTCAGCCAGACGGTCAAGCTCCCGCTTGAGACTGAAGCAGTCGTTCGAGTCATGGCCGACATCCTCATGGAAATGGAAGTGTTTACTTTTGTTCCGGTTTTCAGCGGAACCTTTCATAGGGGTCGGCTTCTCAAGAGTCAGCAGATCCTTGATTTCCAAGAGGATTGAGCAGCAGTCCTTGTGGAACTAGTACCTGGGAACGTACGGTTTCCACTCATTTTTCATCTTCAGGGTCGGTTGATCAGAGTTATCAACGACCCAGATTTGTTTTTTCTTTTTTGCTCTCTTCTGGCTTAGGAGCCGGCTGAGTAGGCCGACTCTCCTTCTGTCGGTCGGACTTCTTAGTGTCCGACTGCTTTTTGGAGGAGCAGAGTTCGGTCGCCTGTATATAGGCTTCTGCCTCTCGTAATGCTCCCTGAAGAGTGAAATTTTTTTGCAGACGAGTTCGTACTTGAAAGTAGACCCATCCTTCAGACCCTTAAAGAAGTCTGTGAAGGCGACCTCATCAGACACCCCATGAATCTGGATTCGCACCAGATTGAACCGCCTGACATAGGAACGCAGGCCTTCTCTATCTCCCTGTTGTACATTGCCCAAATCGAGGCTTGTATTTTTGGCAGGGATGTTCATAGAGAAGTTTGAAGCAAACAAGAACGCAAGCGTCTTGAAGCTATTAATGCAACCAGCCGGCAGATTGCCGAACCACTGTTGGGATATGCCTTTCAGGGTGGCTGGGAAACAGCGACACCATGCGGCATCATCCAACCCTTGTAAATAAATGAGGTGGGTGTATGCTAGCAGGTGGTCTTCCGAGTTGGAGGTCCCATCATAGGTTCCAACCAAAACATTTTTAACCTTGGCCGGTTGTTCGTCTTCGGTTATTTCCCTGGAGAAAGCAGAAGGTTGATCTCCAAGGTGTTGCAGCCTAAGCTGCCAATCCATCGGTTGATAGCCGTATGCCACCTAGCCTCCAAAGAGGGCAGGCTGCATGTAAGGTAAAGCAAGCGACTAGTACAATGGCGGAGCCATATACTGGGCCGACTGTATTATATGAGGGTCAGACTGAACCCGAGGGCTTCTTGCTGGGGTCTCATGTACAGACTGGGAATACCTTGTAGAGGTATTCCGAAAGCTATCATGGTAGGTCAACGTAGAAGCCGACTCTAATAGTTAGGTTCTCTTCCGCTCAATGTAATGTCGAGCATCGGAGAATGTTTTCTTGCTACCATTCGGCTGTATGTGTCGAATGGCTTTTCTTGTACCCGTTTATGGGAAACGGAGTCTAGTGAGGTCAAATTGGGGCGGAGCCTTCTCCTTGGGGGCAGGATGAGGAGTCAGCTGGCGGTCCCTGACCGACTTTTGTTTACCAGTTTGAGCTGGCTTCTTGGCCGACTGCTCCTTTCTAGGAGTAGGCCACCTCTTGGTGGCAAGTTGTTTGATTTCACCCCTGAGACTGCTCAGGAGTTTCATGAGCTCGTCTTGGGTGACGAGGGTTGATCCTGCCGCTTGGGAAGGATCACCCGGCCGCCCTGAGGGCTTCTTTGGCTGACCAGCATTTTTGCTTGGCCCCGTCTGATCATGGTTTCACTCCCGCTTTTCTTTACTACGGATGCGTCTAGAGATGAGGGACCCGTTAGGATCCACATAGGTTTTGACATCAGCTCGTCCCCTGAGTCATGGTCCGTCTGGACCACTATTTCTTCCGGAGGCCGATTGGTCTCAGGATTCTATACAGGTTCTTGTGAAGTCATCTTAGAGGTACTCTCCCCACAGACGGCGCCAAATGTTTCGGGTTTTTTGTCCCTCGGGAGAGTTACAACACTAAGACTGGATCCAGCAAGGGGCGCCTGTACCTGCAAAGCAAACGGACCGCCGGATGGTCGGTGGTCCGCTTCCGAAGATTAAGTTAGTAATGTATTCGGAGTAAAACGTGCGTAAATAGAGTTATTTGCTTGGTTTCCAAGCTCAGGCGTACTGTATCTTGAGAGTGACAGTTCAGAAAATGATTGGTATTCAATCAAGGTTAGGTCATAAAAGTTGTCTCCGAAAAGAATATGATCCCCATAAATGAGGGGAATGTTCCCTATTTATAGGGCTCTAGGAATGTGTGCCCTTTCTAGGGTTTCGTGCCCTAAGAAAGGGCACTCCGTTTTTGCAGGGGCCCCTTGGGATTTAGGCCTTGAAAGCCGTCATTCCCAGGGGGCCAAATCTGCCTACCACGTGTCACCATCTGGAAGGGCCAGGGTGGCGCCTCTTCCAGTGACACATGGCTGGCTCGGATTGGGCCAGCTGGTTGGGTAAAAATACCCAAATCATGCATGACACTTGAATTTCAAATTTTAGAAAAATTAAGAGATGTGCAAAATTTGAGAAGAATTTGTGTAAAAATAGTGCATGTAGAATAACATTAAGAAGGGAAAATATATCTAATAATGCTAAAAAGAATCAAATTTTTGGGTTTTTTTGTGATGTTATAATAAAAGTTTTAAATTTTGTGGTATTATAAACAAATTTTTCTAACAATTTTGTGGTGTTATAAGTCAAAAAATCCTAGAACTTATGTTAATTAGTTTTCTAAAAATTGCAGGGTTCCTAGAACATGTTCTAAGTTTTTCCACCAATGCTTACTTTATAAAAGAGAAGTGTCTAAAGCAAAGAGTAAACATGAATTAATGTAAACTCTTATTGTTTTAACCATTATCCCTAAGATACAATGATCTCAAATTAGGGCACCTCCATCATACTTCTTCAAAGTCCATTTTGAATTGTCGTCAATACTTCTCACTTATGATGTTTTCAATACCTGTGCGAGTTTTGGTACTAATTTCATTTCGAAAGAGGAAGTAGATTAATTCAAATTAGTGGAAGCATGAGTAAATGTTAGAAACAACAATAGGTCATATCACTCATCAGCTACCGCTTTCAATCTTGGCGTCAATACTAAAGTTTTCATTGTAGAAGCTACAACCCTCCATAAAGGCATATACCTGTCGCTCCAATAATTAAGGTATACACAATATTTAGATTAAGGATGAAATTCTTGTCGTAATCAATTCAGTCTAGAACTACCAAAAAGTCATATCGTGTCGCATTCGTGTTATGTCCTGTGTTCGTTTCGTGTTATTCACAAAATCTTTCAAAAATTATGTAAAATATAAGATAATTGCATAATTTGACCAATAATTAGCGTTGTGTTGACTTCGTGTTTTCTCTGAGTGATTTCATGTTCATGTTGTTCTAGTTTCAATGGTACTAATGCGGCATGCCAGAGATTGCCAACTCTACTTTAGTCCAAGGATAAAATAGTCCATTTCACGGGAGATTGAGCGCATCGTCTTTGAAACCTGAGTTTTGCTTTCCCTAACTAACAGTTGGAGCATTTAACACATTTATCATAATGAGAATAGAGCACAAGTTAGATAGCAAATCTAGGTCATTTAGTTAATTACGGTTTGGGCATTGTTTCTTATAACTCTAATTCAATCCTCAATCTCTCATGTAATACGCTATCTTCTTTCTTTTTCCTTGTAAAACACTCCAACTTCTGTGTATTTCACATATTTGTTTAGAATAATTAATATTCATATCAAAGTTACTTTTGTAAAAATACTACGCATAATAAATACTTCCTCCATTTTTAAATACTTGCTCCACTTTCCTTTTTCGGCCGTATTCACTTTCCTTTTTTGGCCGTTTTAAAATACCTGCTCCATTTCCTTATTTGGAAAAATTTTACAATATTTAATCAATTTCTCTCACCTAGTGGACCCATCATTAATCATATTTTATTAACTTCATGTTCTCTTTCCTCCAATTCTCTCCACTACTTTTGCTTTTTACAATTTTTTATTCTTCTACTTACTCCACTACCTCCATATTTTATTACTTTCTCCAATTTCTCCTAAAACTCCGATCAGGGAAAAATAGAGCAAGTATTTTAAAATGGAGGGAGTAGTTATCAAAAAAGAATAAATAACCCCTAACCGACCTAGTAACCCCAAATAACCCTTAACCGACCTAGTAACCTCTAGAACCCCAAGTAACCTCTAACCGACCTAGTAACTCCAAGTAACCCCTAACCGACCTAGTAACCCCCGACCAAGTAACCCCTAATAACCCCTGACCACCGACCTAGTAACCTCCAGTAACCGCTAACCGACCTAGTAACCCCTAACTGACCTAGTAACTCCTAGTAACCCCTGACCGCCAACCTAGTAACCCCTGACCGGACCTAGTAACTCCTGACCGGACCACCTAGTAGCCCTTGACCGGATCTAGTAACCCCTTACCCACAACAAACAAAAAACTACCACCAATAACCACCACCAACGAACCACTACCAACCTAAACCACCAACGAAACCAAATATAAAACCCTGAACCACGAAACCACCACTACCCATCCACGAAACCACCACTACCCACCCATGAAACCACCACTATACACGAAAACAATTTGTTCTTCGTTCTTCAATTAAACAAAAAATTAAGTAATAAAATTTAACAACTTACAAGTTAGATAATCAAAATCTTCAGCAAATAAGCTTGAATTCAACATAAAATTCGTAGAACATAAATTTCCAATAGTAAACCATTAATGAAGTTTGAAATAATTTGGGCTAACAAGATGACACCATTAATAAAGTTTGAAGAAAAAAGAGGAGAGAGAAATAAAATTAGGGGAAAAAGAAAAATGTGACGGAGAAAGAAAAGAGGAGAGAGAATAATTTTAAAAAAATACTACCTCCATTAACAGTTATTTGCAACATTTATTAAAAAGGGTGCTACATATTATTTGCAACAAATTTATTTCTTTCCTAATGTAATAACTTTTTTCTAATAAAATGACCAAAATACCCTCATTTAAAATTATTAACCCCTAATACTTCACATAATTACAAATTATTACAACTCTAATCTAATGTAATAATCTAAACTTTTCCCCCAAAAAAATCTGATTCATCCATCTCTCTCCTCCATCATCTTCTTCCTTCTTCATTTCTCATCCATCATTTCTACTTCAGATTATCTTTCTCATCTCTCATTTTGTTTGGGGTGGTTTGTGGGGGTGGTTTGTAAGTGGGTTTGATAGATCTGGAATTTTTTCGTGGGTGTTGGTGGTTCGTGGGTGTTGGTGATTCGTTTGTGGGTGTTGGGGTTCGTTTGGTTTTAGGGTTCGTTTGTGGGTGTTGGTGGTTCGTGGGTGGTTATTTCATGGGTGTTGGTGGTTAATTCGTGGGTGTTGGTGGTTCGTGGGTGGCTATTTTGTGGGTGTTGGTGTTTTCCGGTAGCTGTTTCGTGGGTGGGTTTGGTTTTGGGTTTTAGATTTGGTGGTTTTTGGGTGGTTTTCGTGGTTCAAATGTGGATTTCGGTGGTTTAAAGGTGGATTTCAGTGTTTGTGGGTGGCGTGAGTGGTGGTTCTTGGGTTTTGGGTGACATGGGTTATGGTTCTAGGTGGCGTGTGGTGGTGGTTCTGGGGAGTTATAGTTTAATTGGGTTTGGTTTTTTTTTTTAATTTAATTAGTAGTTAAATACATGTCCATAACTTTCAGTAATCTTGTTTAAAAAGTTTTGCTTAGGAGTCCGCGCATATTTCTTTATTGCAAATATATACTTATGAAACTTTGTGATATAAAATTAAAAAAAAAAAAAGTACGAAAGCACATAATAGCCTCTCGCAACCTAAGAAGACAATTAAACAATCCCAGAAAAAACTGGAAACGTCTAGTGAGTTTTAAAAAAAAAAAAAAGTGACCCCAAAAAAAAGGTTAAAGACGAGAACTTTAGCCAATTACTCATACAAATAAGTAACTTACATGAAAAGAATCAGGTTTTGTGTCATTTGTGAAATGTGTTAAAATACAGCATGAATCAAACAGCGGACATGGAAATGATCGAGGTGACGGAGGACTCTCAGCTTCCACCACCTCCTCCGACCACCAATGCCAGTGCCGCCGCTCCTCAATCCGACGCTGCTGCTGGTTTCCTTTCATTGGCCCGTCAACTCATCGATCAGGGCAAACCTTCCCAAGCCCTTCAGGCGGTAATTTTTTCAATCTTTTATTGAATTTGATTTGTATTTTGTTTATATGTTTAGGTTATGCCCTTCAATTGTTGTTTTATTTAAGATAATTGAAATGGTTATTGGTTCATGCTCCGTATTAAAATAATAGAACCCGTCATTTTAAGAGACGATGACTAGTTATTGGTTCGGGTGATGCTCGGGGTTATTGCATGTCGTACAAGAATAGCTGATTGTAGATTATTTATTAAGGAATGGTTATAGTGGAGAATTTGAGAGTTTGTCATTCCATCTTGTTTGTGTTACCTTTCACATATACAATGGCTATTAGAATTGGTTGAACTTTTTACTCATTGAGTCTACTCATTGCTTACGACGTTTCTATGAGTCAGTGTGTCTGAAATTTGGATGGTTGTATACCTGTCTGCTTCAGGACTGCAAAGGTGTGGTTTGAACTGAATCATGGACTCAAAGTCGATGCTCATTTCTGATATGAATCATCAGACATCATTACTTCATCTTTAACATGAATTAAGTGAGCAAATATATTATGTTGTCGTATGATATTAATAGTTCAATATTGTCATTTGTTTTGCGGTTACACAGTCTTGTCAATAGTAAGAAAAGTTATAGTTAAAGCTATAATTTAGTCTATATATTAGGAATTAGTGATAGGAAATTATATTGTTACAAATTAAATTGAAATTAGTAAATGATTACTAAGAGGCGAGGCGCGACTGGCAAGAACTAAGGGATGTAATTGTTGAGGAAGATATAATTCCACCAACTAGTTCGTCGTTTTTTTTTTGGCAAAACTACTTACAGAATATTAGCTATTCAGAATTTGGTACTTGGGATGCTTATTGAGGATGGATAGAGATTTTTTTTTCCTTTGAGAGGGAATGTAGCTTTTCAACTATCACACCTCCGTGTCAGATGCTATGAATGGCAGCCTATCAGTTGGGAGGAGAGTGACACATGGTGGAGTCTTGTGAAGGGTCTCTTGATTTTCTCTTCATGTTATACAAATATAATTTCCAATTTCTACTTGAGGATAAATGAGAGAGTTACAAGTAGCGCCAGAAAATTGAAATGTTGCACAGTTGTACTTCCTCCGTTTGGAAATATAAATCTCTTATGTCATTTTAGGATGTCCGGAAAAAGTTGTGACCTTTTCCAAAATGGTAGTAATGATTTCTAATATGGCGTACTTAAATTATGTAATGGGTAAAGGGTTGAATTAAGAACTATCACAATCATTGTGAAGGCTTTGATTATGGGATGTTGGGATAATTTGACATAATTGACAATGTACTTGGATAATATGATAATGTATTCCAGGGTGAGGGTGTAATAAATTTACATGAACTGTATGTCTGGCTGTCGTTATAATAAGGAGGTGTATCCTCAATCTTCTTAAGCTGGAAGATTAGGAATCAATTTACGGTTATCTGTCGTCTTCTGCAACACTAACCAGTCTGTGTGGTTATCTGTTAGCCTAAATTCAGTTCTCTCAAGCTCAAGGTCTGTCTTTGGAGTCTTTAAGAAAGCAATAAATGTGCTAGAAGTTGGTGTGCAAAATATATGTACCAGAGCTTTGATGAAATTTCATTTATGTCCTGCTCCCCTAACCCCGAAATAGTAAAATTATATTTTCTGTTTTGTTTTACTTGAATTAAGTGATACGGTGATGAAAAAGTCCAGAACCAACACTACTACTTACATTTGTTACATACAAACATTAATAATAATTAGAAAATAAAAAACACTTTATTAAAACTTTTAGAGTAATACAATAGGTTAAGGTGTCCTTACAAAATATCTTTAAAAAATATCATAGAAGAACTATCCTTTGTGTAATTTGGGATGATACATGGTGTTAGTTATTTCTGACCTAGGGTGCATTAATTTGCTTGTATTTTTGGGATGATAACTGGCTGGCTTTCATTATGATATAGGAATAGTTTTATCATTATATGCTTAATATAAAAGGCTAGCTAGGACAGATCCTAGGATCCATCGCAGTCAACAAGATACACAAAAGTCATGGTTTTGTGTTTTGTTTAACTTTTAACTCCCTAACCCATGATAGCAAGAGCTCAACAAAAGAAATTCAATTCATTCAACTCTCTAAAATAAAGTTATAACCTAAGGTCACTATAGATAGACGTAATTATTAAATTTAGAATATTCCTAAAACTATAAAATTAGGATAAAGAAACTAATTATTCATATCTTACTCGTGAAACAAAGATCACAAATAATACACTAACATAAAATTATATCTTGAAATAATTTAAAGCTAGCTATAAGATATCTTAAACTCTTGCTGGACTTTCATTCGACTAAAATCAAGTCTCTTTTATCTAGTTTTAAGAATCTAACTAACAAATTAATGTAACTATCAATGTATGTAGCAGAGCTTCCATATGCATGCCTAGATCCGAGATTTTTGACAAACCATACCTTATGAAAATATCCATTTTTATCTTAATCTGTAAAATAATCCAAGCCCAAAAATTAAAAAGACTACTTACAAAATTATTCTTGAGTATCTAGTTTACTAGCTTACTCCCATATGCATATCTGGTAACACCATTTTCCTTAATCTTCTTAAGTTGGAAAAGTTAGGACTCAAATATTTTTTTTGTCTTCTTTTGCAATGATGGTCTGCTGTGATTAGCTTTTAACCTAAATTTGTAAGGGTTGCGCTCGAGCCTTGATTGGGGGCACAATAATGTACCAGGGGTTGGTGTGCAAATATGTTATCCAAAGCTATGGTAAAACTTCAGTAAGGGCCTATTTAGAGTGGCTCTATGCCCCTGCCCAAAACAATAAAAATGGTATGTGGATAATTTTTCACAGTTTTTAGCGGCACACTTGATGGATATTTGGATGTTAAAAAAAAAAGGTTAGGCTAAGTTTATGCTATTATTTGGGGAACTACTTTTTGATGCAATAGTGTGAGAAAGGGAGAACTTAGAGCTTAGGTTAAGATATTTGATATGAAGCTAATGAAGGGGAACATTTGGTCTCTTATATTGGAGAAGGAAAGTTTTTTAATCTGTTGCTTCAGCCAGCATGCATCTCTTATGTCTTTCTTTTGACATTTGAAGTTACTAAATTGAATTACTGGCATTCTGATCAGCTCCGATATCAAGATATAGGATATGGGAAGTACTAGGGGTTAGTTTGAAGAAAGTTGAAGAATGAATATTAATATGGGAAAAACCTTTATAAATAGCAAGAGGTGAACGAGTCTCATTGCACTCTGCTTGGAAATAATGTTCTTACTCTCTGCAAAGAAAAACCTGCAGTATTGCTATGCTCGTTTTGGTATCAATTTTGCATTTGATTTTGGTGTGTCCATATTATATAATTTTACAAATAGCCTATAGATAATGTCATGGCTTTACTCTGTTGATACTTATAACCTTGATTTATTCGAGAACCGTGGTGAATGTAGGGAATTTAGTTATTGTTTACTCAAATCTCACTTATTACATGTTACGATATTGTGCTGGCATGCTAGTAAACATCAAAATTGAATAGGAAATATTATTTGTTTGCATATCTCACAATATCATCACTTTTTTAGGTCGAAATTAATAGTTATACTATACTAAGAGTGTTAATGCATTAACTCTTAGTAATAAATAAGTAGTGGAATATTAAGTGTTAAGAGGAAGATGGGTGGATTTTTCATGTTTCAACAGTACATAGGCTGGAGAATTTATATTTGTACTTGTTGGTTATGTGTGAGTGATCTCAAGTTTGGTGCATGTGTGTAGTCTGCATGCACGCGTGCATGTGAGGAAGGGCTAGCCATAGAGGTGTGGAGGGAAACTAATAAGTGGCCACTGCCTAACACTCTTACTCTTGTCACTCATAATCTTCAGTTGAGTTTAGGAAACAGGATATGGAATAGGTTCTGAGAATGATGGTCAAATTACATGGTTGCACTCTGCAATCTTTTCATCCCTCAGATGCTCTACCAACTTGTAAATCGCAAACAAATAAATAAATAAAAAATTAAAAAAAACTGCTGCTATTTATTTTGCTTTGGACTGTAAAAGCTTTGGTGCTTATTGTAGTGTGTTCTAAATTTCCTTAGAATGACAGAATTTGATTCACTCATATGCCTGACTGCATGCATAATCCTATTGTGATTTGTGAATGAATATTTCTCTGTTAATATTTGGAAGTTATCTTGACATGTTTAGATTCTGTGTGGACAGCAGTAATTTGTACATTGAGGCCAATGGCCTAATTTGGAAGTAATCTTGACATGACTCGGATTCTGTGTCGTGAAGCAGGAGTAAATTGTGCAATGTTCTAAATAAAATAATAGGACTTAACCCATTATGTATCTTAATAACGATATGTATCATGGGTATCCACTTAACCAGTTTGCATAGAGCTTTAAGATTAGAGGTGGTTAAAGTTTTTTTTTTTTATTATTATTATTTTTCTTTTTATGTACACTAATATGGTGAATATCTTGTCCCAAACAGATAGTTATGGCTATGAGAACAAAAGGAGGAGAGGAGGCTGTTTTCTACATCTTGCAACGTGCACGTGAGCTATACAGATCAAAACTACAGACTAGTGCTGAAGCTGATCAGCTTGCCTCTTTATTTGCTGAGTGTGTAATTGCTGAAGCTCAGCCCCCAGGAAGTGAACCCTCATCATCTCCATCACCATTTTTCTCATCATCTGCAACACCAACTGTTCCTAGCCGCGAAATGGAGACTGACGCTTGTGGAACCTCAATTTTGGCAGAGACCGGAAGAAAGCAGATTGTGTTGGATGCCTTCTCCGACGGCAGTAGTTTCATCTGTTTGAAGTGTGGTGGTCTTGTTAGCAACCATCGTAAAGATGAACATTATGCTTACTGGTGTCAGTTTTAAATGCACCTAAGAGTGTTCACAGATGCAGGTGCTTTGTAAAGCATGAGATTAAAAATTGTCATCTTGAATATATACTACTGTTACAAATGCTTTGTTTCCCTGTTAACAATGATATACCTGCTTTGAAAGGGAAAAACATTCGAACTCCAGGCTTAGGCAAGGCCATACACATGCATTTGTAGATTATGCTGAGAAATGTATGTCGGAGTTCTTGTGATTATAATGGGGATGATCTTATAGTAACAAGTTTTGCCTTTTATAGTCTTATATTGAGATAGCGCTATACTGTACATGCATTGGTGTGATCTTTTGGTTAATCATTCTAGTATCTGTTACAACAGTTTGTATAATATATTTGAGTTATGTTGTAAAGTAACACGAGATCTTGATAAGCGTTACATCAAGTAGAAAATCTGCCATGTAATCAATCACTTCTAATATAATCAATCATTAATGTGGTACATACATCAAACATGAAAAATCAAACACTAATACAAAGGATTAACTTTTCAATATATTAACAAAATTAATACTGTGATTACACACACTGCAGACTATAACAGACTGCCTAAAGACCAAAACCACAACAATAAAGGGAAATAAAAACCACCCTTCATCCCCATTACATATGTCCTATCAATTGTCAAAGAAATCCTTCTTATTCACAAAGGAAAACCTTAAGAAACGAGCGTTAGAAGCTGTCAGATGGAACAAGACAACTTAGTATCAGATTTCTGAGTTCTGTGCTCTTCCTTGACTGCTCTGGCATACAACTGGTAGCATCATCACAGCTTTACAAGATGCTCCCTTGAGCCAAACAAATCACTTCTACAGAATTGAAGACCAATGCATCCAATTCACCAGCATACCAATTTTCTCCATGATATACATTAAAATACATAACGGGCCACTGTATATAGCATTCTTCTAATCTGAAACAAAAGAAAGGACAATTATAAACAGTGGCACGGTGCTGGAAGGGCATCTTTTATAACAATTGCAGGTCACAATGATTTTAACTCATACAATTAACAGTAATTGCCATTGTACAAAAATGGAGTTTTCCTTAAATAAAAGAAAGGACATGAGACATAATGGTGACATTGGAACCAGTGCAAGCTGTAAACCAGCTGAAAACAAGACTAATTTAATTTATTTATACATAAACCACCCATCACTATGATTCAGGACATGTTGAACCAGCTTGTATCTAAAAGATATGAGAGTTAGATCACTCAGTTTCACCATTTCATTGGTTCAAATGCAAAAAACAAGAACATTAGAAATATCGTAGCTTTGAGTCAAATTGGACATCATTTTTCACAAACTCATTCTCCATTTGTTTGCAGCGAACATAACACGTTAGTTAGGTTTGCATACATCATCCCACCCTGGGAGAAGCCTCTTTACAGCTAAAAGTAACGATAATGGTGAAGGAAACTTCTAGATCATGAAGATTATGATAAACACCATATGAAGAGCCAGTTACCAGATGCACTTCAAAGAGCATATCAGCTTCACAGATGACTCAACCTGACCCAACTAAACCAGCTCCCTTCTTGTCAAAAAATCCATCCCAAGTACAATTTGAAGCCAAATTCTTCCATACTAAACAAATTCATCAAAGATGAGGCTACAGAAATACAAGGTGCTATTTAATTCAAATGAGGAAAAGCAAAAGAAATCAAAAGGAGAGGGAATTGGAGTAAAAGAAAGGGGAAATAACTTTTTTATTTGATTGGTTCAGATGAGAACCAATGGGATACCTGTTTTACATTGTTTGATAGTTAATACAAGAGTAAAAAATAATTTCTACTTTCTGGTGGTTCTGCTTCGAACAATAGAGTTGACAGATCTCGATTCCATCCAAGTATCACTTGGCTTAATCAACAAAAGCAATGAAAGCAACTGGATTGAGTTGTTGTGAATCTAGTGACTACCCCATATTACTCAGGCTCCTCATCTTACCACAAATATCCATGTTGGATTTAACACTCTAAAACGAATATGGACGCAGAACACTTCATTTTGGACCAAAATGGAAATGTTTCATAGCATAGCAAGTTTAACTCTTATACACATAGCAGTGTTTGACACCAATACCCAAGTCCAATCAAAAAAGATTGTGAAAGCCTTCCACTTGGGTGCAGGTGAGATGGGTGATGGTTGAAATTTATTTCAAACACTTCCTATGTTCCCCTAATATTGCAAGGAGAGGGGGGGGGGTATGCACGGAATTTAAGATGAGGAGAGAGGTAGAGGGAAATAAATACAAAGACCCATGTGATGAGATAAAGAAAAAGCATGTGCAAAAAAGGAAATGTTGCGATATTTGTCAAACATCCTAAAATAGTGATTGTTGCAATACTAGGGGAACAAAGGAAGCATTTTTTTTCTTTTTCTTGATTCCCCAATCCCACCAAGGTCATGGATAATGCGTCAGACCTGGAACTGAGGTATCCTTAAACTAGGAAAAAGAGAAAGGAAATTGCTTGAAATACCAACCAAAGATTAACCCAGGGTAATAAGTGTATCAATTTGCTTTCTTCCCTTGATTATCGTTAGCCAAGCACCCCTTATGATAATCTTTGATAAAAAATTTAACCAAAAATTATATTACGAGGTTTCTGGTCTAATTCAGTAGCTCCTTACAATAAGTGCAGTACTATATAAGACATTACTTACAGACAATGTAAAGCTTAATGGAAAAATTTCGAAGACCCCCCCCCCAATATATATGGAGAGGACTGCATTACACACGTATTTTAAAGGCTTAGATGAATAAGTGTCATGTAATTGTTGTTGATTGTTACAAATGGCATGACAAGTATTAGTACTTTACAGTTAACAGTACTGGCATGTTATAGCTAACCAGCAGAATAGATAAAAGTGTCATGCAAATGGTGATAAAACGTTTAAAGAACATGATAAGCATAGTACTTACTATTCCAGGCATGTTAACATAATGCTTCGTAACAGAATTGATGAGAAGACACTCACCTACATAGGGTATTGCTAGTCTAACTCTGACGTATGCGTGGATGTACGTGGAGGTCAAATTATACAAAAGCACCTCATGAAGAAAGTTAAATCATATCTTTCAACGCCTGAGGCCGAGGCCTTGTCTTCACAATTGTTTCATCGCAATGCTTAATCCATTCTGACAATCTCCATGGTTTTTGCCATTTCCATTTGAACTGTAAAATCCACTGGTGATGACTCCTCTTCCATCTCCATAGCTTACTAGACTGTCCCGCAACTGCTAATTTCTTCATTGACAACTGTCCAAGCGGCACCATCTGCATACAGTTAAACATCCTTTTTCATCAAAGGAACAGATAGGAGAACTCTCACTTAAAGACTAACTAAGAAACTGAAAATTAACCTTTTTCGGATCAATATATGATGTTGCTTCCCTGACTTGTCCATTAGCAATACCAGGAGAATATTTCAGCTGCTTTTGAGCAGGTGCAGCTACTGGAGACAATGGGCCACTCATGTCGTCAAGTGTGTTTTTTAGTGATCCGGGTGAATTCTGCTCAGTGACAATAACATTAAATCAGATTTCAGAGAGATAGATTCTAAAATTGGGGGGGGGGGGGTCAACAATCATAAAAAACGATAGGGATTAGAGCAAAGATAATTGCACAATTGTTGAAGAATCCAAAGCATTGTCATTCCAAATAACAACATTTAAACAGTATGCCACCTACAGTTTTTCAAGATGCATTCAGAGAAAACTTTTAATTAGAACATTGGGGTTACTCAAATCAACTTACTTTACTCCAGACAGGATAGTTTTTATAATATACTTCATATGATTTAAAAGGAGTCAGGATCAAATATTTTGCCAGGCCTGAAGTTCTTCAGGCCTTTTTGCATTCCTCACAGAGAACAGAGTGATTTATCAGATACCTTTAGTATCAGACAAACTTTAAATGGTTGCCTGAATATTCATCTTACACAAAATCCTACAAAAACAAAAATACATGTTCATCTCACCGATGCAGATGTGGCAAGCGCAACGGCAGCTGATTGCTCTCTCAATTTGAGCTCCTTCTCCACCTCTTTTCTCCGAGTTTCACTCTGCCTCAAGAGACCAACCAGTTCTTTCAGCTGCTCCTTCATTTCCTTCATTTCAGTTTCCTTGTCATATAAATGACATCTGTAAAAATAAAAACAAAGTTAATACGAGTTCCAGCACAGAACATAATCTTCAGTCAGATATCTACTAAATTGGTACCACTAACAGGAAGTTCATGCATATCACTACAAAAACCAACTTTTGATACTTCATGAAAATTGAAGGATATTGTAATATGCATCAGAATCATTTCAAAGTCAACAGCATAATTTCATAGATAACACTGGAACTCCAGAAAATAATGGTGGTTTTATTTTTATTTACTTTATCTCTGAAACTTTGTAAAGAGTCTTCAAAACCTTAAATCATCTAATTATGTCAGTGCCAATCTGAAGCAAAATTTACTTTATTGACATCAGAGGGATAATTAAAGGAACCGAAAGAAAGCAGAGAAGCATAAGTAAGAGCAAATAACGTATGTTTATTCACATAATATGGAGAAATGACTGTTGACTGGAGTCATATTAAAGTTATTTCCAGTACATTTTGCACATGTGAGATGTGACACAAATAAACTGAGTTTGAAATAGGAAATACAAGGATGGATCAACTTTCAGAGCAAATGAACCTTGTATCAGCAAGAGAATTGAACATATATTGTAGCAAACACTTGGCATCTCCCATTGAGCGCAACTGATTCCAACGACCACGACTACTAAAGCCACGTTCTCTCTCTTCTGCTTCTGAAAGTTGTGAAGCCATGGCCACTAGTGAATTTGACGATATGCTCAGCATATTTTCCAGGGATGAAATTCTCGCCATTCTTGCATTTGGTGACAATGAGGATAACCTACATATGACCACAATCAAGAATTGCATTGGGAAAAATTGCAAAAGAAATGAAACTCCTTTCTATATTGCTAAGACAGTCACTTTTGCGGTAACAGGAACAGCAGACTCCTAAATAAAAATTTGCATGAATTGCACCTTGAGAAACCATTCTTTCCTTTAGGAGTGCTTAATCCCTTTGAAGAAAGCTCTTCTAGTTGTTTCAACACAGACAGCTCTTCAGCAAGTGCAGTACGCCTGGAGAAGGTAGAAATAATCATTAAGAACAATTGTGGATCATTTCATGCATGCCAACTTATGCAAACACCAATATAAACAGTATACTTACACTTGAGTTTGTTTCTCGTACTCATAACG